AGACAAGACCCGCTGATATCAGGTTTAACATTTTTTGACACAGAACACAAAATAAGCCTGTTTGCTGATGATATCATTCTAATGGTTACAAATCCTTCTAGATCCCTATATAGGATCAAAGAAATCTTAACTCAATATGCAAGCGTATCATACTAAAAGCTTAACGAATCCAAATATCTAATTCTCAATCTGTATACACCCAAAAAAAACAACTTCGTTTAACTAAAAAATGACCTTATATATGGACAGAACATTCAATCCCCAACCTTGGAATCAACCTAACCCCCATCCTAACTATATGAATACAACTATAAAACATTACTCCAGAACCTCCCCAAAGAAATTTCCTCACTCCAAACATTCGGCCTTTCCAAATTTGGCTGTATTGCAGCGTTAAAAATTATTTTTCTCCCCCAAAATCTTATATATCTTCAGGACCCTCCCCATATTCATACCTATGGCTTTCTTCCACACAGCACACAAACTCCTCTTTAAATTCCTATGGGAATCTAAATGACCCAGATGCTCTAACAACCTACTTATACGTCCCCCCGGTAAAGGAGGTACTAATCTCCCTGACACGTGACGTATGATGCAATTACGCGTAATGGAAGTTACGTGTAATGGAAGTTTGAGAAAATTGGAGGTGCAGTTATCTACTATTCCAGAAAGCGGATTATTACCTCCATAGGGTAATTGTTTCATTTGCAGCACCAGTTTGGAGTGGTCACCTTTACACTGGTTGATTTGATTCACATTTTTTGAGTATTGGTTGCAGTGTGCTGAGTTCACTGTCACATTATATAGATGCACTTGGTATATGTTTCGAGATATATTTTTGGTGCACATTTAGAGCATATATATAGATTATAGATAATTTTTTTTTTTTTTTCTCTGCTGAAACACTTTGTGTTGGAGTATGCATGACACATAGTGCACAAATACATTTTTGTTATAAGATAATACACTATTTGCGATTTATATTTTTTTTGAGGTTTGTTCTACTGGATCATTGTATTTTAAATTTCATATAAAATATCACAAGGAGAAGTGATTGAAGTGAAGAAAAAGTCTTTTGGACTTGTTGTATATAGAAGGACACTTTTTGGGACACTAAGTTTATTTATTTATTTTATTTTATCTTATTTTAATTCATTGTATTGTATTTTTATTTATTTAATTTTTTTATTTTTATGTTGGTTGTCGAAAGATGTGCATTTGGGGTAATTAAGATTACATATTTAACTTTGGTGGAGAAGAGGTATAGAGGGGAAATGAAAAGAACGCTTTGCTGATTATATCACTTTCAAGGGTGAAAGTAGTTTATCTTTTCTGGGTAGGGTATTGTTTAATTTTTGGGGGTGTTCGTATTATTCACATACTTAGCCACTTTACTAGACCAACTATATTTCTGGTGACATCCATCAGAACAAAAAAATTGGTCGCTTTTAGAAACTCAACTATTCCACCCTAGTGCACTGCAATCCTATCTCCTACTTTGCTCCACTGATAAAAAAAAAACCGCCTGCAATACCACACCCATGTATCAGAGCCTCGACAGATGCATGGTTAAAACTGCTAGCACAATCCCTTCATAAGTCCAATAAGGTTCACATTCCTCTCAGAGCCTTAGCCTTCTTAATTCCAGATATCAATCTGACCCATAGCTAATCATAGTATTCATATTTATGATGTTATTGGTAGATGAAGGTGCATGATTATATAGCATATTGTAACCAAAAAATTCATTGCATCCCAGAACTCGACATGTTTCGTGAATCACTGTCCACTTTCTCAGGAGTAGATGTAAGATAAATGTGTATAGAAATAAGCAAGTAACAAAATGATAATATCAAATACAAATACTTATAAATCAGCTCAAATGTAAGCCCATCAGCCTTAGGGGCAGAAGATGTCAGTGGGCGTCTAACTGGTGGGTTATTAAAAAGTCCTCCTGGCCCTCCCGTCCCAGATGAAAGTTGCTTGGCTTCCAGGTCTTAAGAAAATGCTCAGATGAAAGTCCACTCCAATTCAGCCACCATCAAGAAATCATCTGACCCCTCCCTATGCTCTCATCTCCTCTTCTGGTCTGTATTATCCCATCTGGCCTGTTCATCTGCTCTGGCTGCTCCACCTCTTTGACATTCATTACCTTTAAACAGTAAGAGTCAAAGCAAGTTATATGTTCCTTACAACTGCACCAAAAAACATAGCTCACTGTTCACATTTCTCTGTCCATTGTAAACTGTAAAACTATTGTAGTGCACCCACTGTGACCTTGTAACACTTTCACGGAAATGCATAGATTTCCAGTGGAAAGAATAAACCTGCTTCACTCTCCATGCTGTCTTGAAACACTGGCCTGCTGTTTTCCAGTCTTCACAGCATGGCACTCTCTAGCAATGTTCAACAGTCTGTGGCAACAAAAACATCTAATGTGACTGAATCTACCATTACCAGCCACTTGCTTCCACCTCTTAAGCAATGCTGGAGTAGGAATCCCATCTATTTCCTCTCTAGGGACCCCCACCTTAAGTAAATCAGTCCACATGTATCTCCTGGAGACCATAGGCTTTGCCCTCTTTTTATCTGATTCAACTCGGCCATCTCTATTTGAGCTGATCAGATTCTCAGCTTCCCACTTATGGAAAGTAACAGTGACACATGTCCTACTCCAACTTACAGGAGGGCTGCACACTGCTCATTCAAATCTTCAGCTCTGCCTACAGTGGTTTGAACACATTTCGAAGCCACTGCAGGTTTGAATTCCTTACTTTCTAAATCCCTTGCCTTGCTTGCATTGTCTTCCACACTCGGTCACTACTGCAAGCTGCTCTTTCAACAAGTCTCTTTCTACCTCTGCCTTTTTCCTATTTTCAGATTCAATATGTAGAGCATGCAAGAAGTTCAAACCAAACACAGCTACTGTCTGCGTATCTCACTTAATGAACCCAAAACTTTTAAGACTATAATCACCCCAAGACTCCATCACCCCAAGCTCTGTTCAAAGGAGAAGCATATCTAGCAAGCTCCCTTGCGACAGACATACACTGACTGTCTCTGGCCCATGCAGGTAGGGTGCAAGCCTTCTACTCCTGAACACCAGAAACTTCTGCAGCCTTACATTTTCTAAACAGTGTACGCAGCATTTTTTCCTAGCACAAGCAACAGAAAACATCACAGAAAACAGGTCTGCTTCAGCTGAGCATTAGCACAAATCAGGCCATGAGCCCCCAATTGTTTTGTCTTTCAAAACAACTCTGTCCTTTCCAAAATTCAGAACAACTCTCCTCTTCTCCAAAGTCCCAAAAACCAATTTTTCCTCTTTGTTTCACCACATGGTTGCAAAGTCCTCCCTCCCTACCCCTGCTATCTCATTTCCTGTAAAGAACTTCCCCTGCAGCAATAACTGCACATACTTCACGCAAATCCTGTTGTAAACTTTACTAGCACACCATCTTCCATGAGAAGAGATTCACCTATGTGTCAATAACTAAAGGAGGTGAACAAGGGTGGAGTATTACACCCTCAAAATAAGGTCTGAAGAAGAAGAGACACCTACTGCACTATGAAGCTTCTCCTTGCTTAATCCTTTCACACTATCATGATGAGCGCCACAGGAAATGAGAGTGGAATCCTGGTGGAACTATAAACCTTTACGATGTATGCAGCCATTTATTCAGTGGTTTCTCAAAAAGAGAGTGACAATCTTGGGTCATGATTAGAGATGAGCGAAGAAATGAAAAATTCGATTCGACTGATTCGGCGAATTCGTGGACAATATTCGATTCGAGTCGAATAAATTCGCTGTGAATTTAACTTAAAAAAGGGTGTTTCTAGGCTTCAGAGAGACTTAATATTAGTGCAGAACACTGTACCTTTAATTTAAATGCCCTTGGAGTCTGCTGGGGAAGAGAAATAATACTGTCAGTCAGTATGACATGCAGATGAGTGCCGTCGATCTTAGATCACCGCACACTTCACTCATTTGGGCAGTCACGGGGCCAAAACCAGAGTGTGGAGCCACAGTGTGGCGGTGGAGGCAGCAGCAATGGGAGGCCATACAGCACCCTATGACAAAAATGGAAACCACCAGCAGTGTGAGGAGACCTGAAAGTGGCACATGGCAGAGTGTGGCGATAGAGACAGCAGCAATGGGAGGCCGTACAGGGACCCATGACACACTCTGGACCTGGCAGCAGCATGAGGAGGCGGTACAGGGGCCCATGACAGATTACGGGCCTGGCAGCAGCATGAGGAGTCGGTACAGGGGCCCATGGCAGATTACGGGCCTGGCAGCAGCAATGGGGACGCCGTACAGGGACCCATGACACACTCTGGACCTGGCAGCAGCATGGGGAGGCGGTACAGGGGCCCATGACAGATTACGGGCCTGGCAGCAGCATGAGGAGTCGGTACGGGGGCCCATGACACACTCTGGACCTGGCAGCAGCATGAGGAGGCGGTACACAGGGGCGCATGACAGATTACGAGCCTGGCAGCAGCAACTTGGACAGGAGGACGTTCAGCTTCTGCACCGTCGGGTGCGTGCTCGCAAACTGTTGTCTCTTGGAAACGGATTCCAAGAAAGACTGCTGACGGAATCCGTGAAGAGGAGTAGCAGGAGAAGGAGCATCTGAACGAGCGGAATATGCCAACAAGCGACAACAGTGGCCCATGACAGATTACGGGCCTGGCAGCAGCATGAGGAGTCGGTACGGGGGCCCATGGCAGATTACGGGCCTGGCAGCAGCTATGGGAGGCCCGTAATCTGCCAGCACCCTATGACAAAAAATGGAACCCACCAGCAGTGTGAGGAGACCTGAAAGTGGCACATGGCAGAGTGTGGCGATGGAGACAGCAGCAATGGGAGGCCGTACAGGGACCCATGAGAGACTCTGGACCTGGGCAGCAGCATGAGGAGGCGGTATAGGGGCCCATGGCAGATTAGGGGCCTGGCAGCAGCTATGGGAGGCCCGTAATCTGCCAGCACCCTATGACAAAAAATGGAACACACACCAGCAGTGTGAGGAGACCTGAAAGTGGCACATGGCAGAGTGTGGCGATGGAGGCAGCAGCAATGGGAGGCCGTACAGGGACCCATGAGAGACTCTGGACTTGGCAGCAGCATGAGGAGGCGGCGGTATAGGGGGCCCATGGCAGATTAGGGGCCTGGCAGCAGCTATGGGAGGCCCGTAATCTGCCAGCACCCTATGACAAAAAAATGGAACACACCAGCAGTGTGAGGAGACCTGAAAGTGGCACATGTTTGGGGCATGATTCATGGCGGATTTAGTCAGTTGTGTCAGGAACTGGTGGTTTGAAATCCAGACTAATCCACGCCTGATTCATTTTCACAAACGTGAGTCTCTCCACACTTTGGGTGGACAGTCGTGTCCTCCGCGGAGTTGCAATACCTCCTGCCGCACTAAACACGCGCTCCGATGCCACGCTACTGGCCGGGCATGACAGCCTTTCAAGGGCAAATTCAGCTAGTTGGGGCCAAAGGTCAAGTTTCGTTGCCCAGTAGTCAAGGGGATTGTCTACCTCGGTTGGCAGGGTGCTGTCCAAGTAGGCCTAAGCCTGTTGTTTGAGGTCCTGCTCCAGGTCCACCTGATGCTGCTGCTGCTGCTGCTGCGGCGGCTGGTTAGTAGTTTCCTCACTGCGCTGGTGAAGAAAGCTACTCATCATCGACTGCAGACTGAGGCAGCCGCTGCTGGTGGAGCTGCCACTGCTCCTACCACCCCACCCCTCCCCTGCTGCCATGGCAGCGGAACACGAGCGCACAGGGCCCACAGTGTCTGAGGATGGACGTTGGCGCAGACAGGCAGAGACCAGCTGACTACATAGGTGTTTTTTATAGTACGTTATTTTGGCCTCCCTCTCAGCAGGTGTGAAAAAGGCCACCATTTTTGAACGGTAGCGAGGGTCCAACAAGGTGGACAGCCAAAAGTCATCCCTCTGTCTGATGGTTATTATTCGGCTGTCGCTACGCAAGCAACCGAGCATGCTATGGGCCATTTGTGCCAAGGAATGCGAGGGACTCCCTGCCTCCATCTCCACAGCATACTGCCACGGTGCGTCTAGGTCCTCTGTCTCCTCTTCCTCCTCCTCTACCAGATGCTCCTGCTCCTCCACTCCTGTCCGCTGAGTGGAAAAACCACCCATTTCACTCAATAATTCCTGAGCACCAATGTCCTCACTCTACCTCCTCCTCTTCTTCCAGTCCTGCCCCCACAGGGGCCATGTGGCGTTGAGATGTGCGCCAAATGTCTACCGCACCCTGACCAGCCATTGTTAACAGCATTTGTTCCAGGACGTGCAACAGAGGAATGACGTCGTTCATCCCATAGTCCTGCCGACTCACGAATAGCGTGGCCTCCTCAAAGGGCCTGAGCAAGCGCAGGTGTCTACGCATGAGCTGCCAATGGCTGACATCTAAGTTACACAGGGGTACATCCTGCTTTTAACATCAGGAAATCTGTGATGGCCTTTTGCTGTTCGTAAAGGCGGTCTAACATATGTAGGGTTGAATTCCTGACCTTGTTGCAACGTCACAGCATGATGAGGAGTCGGTATAGGGGCCCATGGCAGATTAGGGGCCTGGCAGCAGTTATGGGAGGCCCATAATCTGCCAGCACCCTATGACAAAAAATTGGAACACACCAGCCAGTGTGAGGAGGACCTGAAAGTGGCACATGGCAGAGTGTGGCGATGGAGACAGCAGCAATGGGAGGATCCGTACAGGGACCCATGAGAGACTCTGGACTTGGCAAGCAGCATGAGGAGGCGGGGTAGGTATAGGGGGCCCTACGGCAGATTAGGGGCCTGGCAGCCGCTATAGGAGGCCCGTAATCTGCCAGCACCCTATGTCAAAAAATGGAACACACCAGCAGTGTGTGAGGAGAGACCTGAATGTGGCACATTGGCTAAGGAGTTGTGGCGGATGGAGACAGCAGCAAATGGGAGAGGCCGTACAGGGACCAAGGGAAGGACAGACTATGGCGACTTGGCAGCAGCAAGAGGAAAATGGCAGGGGCGGTTGGTATAGGGGCCCATGGCAGATTAGGGGCTCAGGCAGCAGCTATGGGTAGGCCCGTAATCTGCCAGCACCTATGTCAAAAAATTCAACACACCAGCAGTGTGAGGAGAGACCTGAGAAAGTGGCACATGGCAGAGTGTGGCGGATGGAGACAGCAGCAATGGGAGGCCGTATTCAGGGACGACTATGGAGCTTGCATGCGAATGAGGAAGGCCAATGAGCAGACTCCTGGATCTTTGGCAGCAGCTATGAGGAGGCCCGTATTATCTGGGGAGCCCCTATGGCACAATTAGGGGACCTTGGCAAGAGCTACTGGGAGGCAGCAGCATGTTGTGAGTGATGGAGACAGCTAAGTAATCTTCGCCAGCACCCTATGTCAAAAAAATTGGAAAACCACGTCAGCAGTGTGGAGGCGGACCTGAAAGGGGCCCATGCCGCCAGCTTAGAGGCCATGGCAGCAGCTGATGCTATGGAGACCGTAATCTGTCCTGCACCTATTGTCAAAAAATTGAAACTCACGCCAGCACGTGTGAGGACCTGACAGGGGACATGGCATGATGGCAGACAGCTGGACTTGGGCCCATGAGCTAGCTTGTAGCAGCTGAGGAGGCGGTATATAGGGGCCCATGGCAGATTAGGGGACCTGGCAGCAGCTATGGGAGGCCCGTAATCTGCCAGCACCCTATGTCAAAAAATTGAACACACCAGCAGTAGATGTGAGGAGACCTGAATAGTGGCACATGGAGCAGAGTGTGGCGATGGAGGACAGCAGCAATGGGAGGCCGAGTACAGGGATCCCATGAGAGATGTCTAATGGAACTTGGCAGCAGCATGAGGAGGCGTGTTATATAGGGGCCCATGAAAGATTAGGGGCCTGGCAGCAGCTA